GGGAGTTATGGGGGGAAAAAAGAGGAACAAATGTAATAATCTGAACAATAAAGATTTAATTAAAAATAAATAAATAAATAAATAAAAAGAATGAAAAAAACCAGTATATTTGCTACTTCCTCTTTCCATTAGAATGTAAAAGATTTACTGAGACAGTAAATCTCACATTTATTATCTTCCTCACAGACAAGAAAATGCCAATTGAAGTAGGAATTTAGTAAATAAGAGAGAATTCCTGATTTCTTTTTCTTTCTGCTGGCATGTCCAATTAGATGCCAGAGCCTGTTAATTTTACTTCTTTTTTTAAATACGTTTTTATTGATTTTAGAGAAAGAAACATCAAACATCTATTGGTTGTCTCCCATATGCACCCCAACAAGAGTCTGAACCCAGAACCTGGGCATGTGCCCTGACCAAGAAACGAACCAGCTACCTTGTGGTGGTGCACAAGACAACATTCAACCAACTGAGCCAACTGGACAGGACTAGATTTTACTTCTCTATACCTGAATGTATCCCCTTCCTTCTTGTTTCCACTAACTATCCTAGGGCAGATCCTTACTTTGCTTGGGAAAGTACAAGCACCTTTCAGTTGATATTCCTAACTTCAGTTTTACCCCTCTCCAATAAAATAATCTGGTCATATTGGCCTTATCACTTCCTTCTTTAAATTCTTCCGTGGTCTTCTACTTATTAATGAATGAAAACCAAACTTTTATATATTCAGCCGGTGTTCATTGGTCACCTATAGCCTTCAGACACCGTGGCAAGTGCCAGTCACAGTGATGATGAGACCTGGTCCTTGCTCTTATAGTTCTTTTATTTCATTCATACACTTTCATTTTCCAACCCCTAAATGTCATCTCCAGCATTGTCATCCTCCAAGTCAGCGGTTCTGAACCTGTGGGTCGCAACCCCTTTGGCCATCGAACGACCCTTTCTCAGGGCCGCCTAAGACCATCCTGCATATCAGATATTACATTACGATTCATAACAGTAGCAACATTACAACGAAGTAGCAAGGAAAATAATTTTATGGTTGGGTCACAACGTGAGGAACTATATTTAAAGGGCCAGAAGGTTGAGAACCACTGCCTAAGTTCTAGAGCTAATTGAATTTAAATTTGGATTAATTTAAATTAAGTAAAAATTTTAGTTATCCAGTCATATTAGCTACATGGGGCTAATGGCTACATTATTGACAATACAGATTTCCATCATCATAGAAAGTTTGTTGGACAGCACACACTGATCTAGACCTTTTCCAAACTATATAAGTCATTCCAAATGCTCCTCAAACACACCATATAGTTGGTCCACCATTTTGCCACTGCTTTTCACTCTGCTCAGAATGCTCTTCTGTGCCTTTCCTAACTATTAAATTTTCTGATTTTTAGATCCCAAATCATGTATCTTATAGGAAATTTTCCTCGACACCACCCCCATTGGTTACATTAGTCTTCCTCCTGACACCCTCACCATGCTTCTTACCCCTCTAATTAAAACCAACCTTGCTACCTTCCTTAAAACCCCTGAGATCTCATTACCTGGGGGTACAGGCCATTCTCCATAGAACTTCTGCCGTGCTAACTGCTAGTCAGTGAGGAAGCCATGTTCTGCAGGAAAGCAATAGGGAGGGTTTAAATGGAAAATAAGAAGTGCTGGGCCAAAAGGCTGCTACGAATTGAGTTGCCACTCAGGTAAGCTTGTAAGATGCCTGTATTACTGTGGTTTTCTTGCTCCTGTCCAGTGAGTCCAGCTGGGACTGGAGGCTTGACGAAGTCTCAGCATGGTACCCTTTTGGACTTAGAAAGAGAAAGTAAACCAGGGAAGTACCCAAGAGATTTTGCCTGTAGAGACCACAGAAGCTGGAAGACATTGTCTAAGAATGTCTTTTTTCACAAGATGGTACTGTCCTCAGCCTTAGAGAGTAAAGTGGGTATGAATTATGATCCTCCTTGCTGCCGCTGCAAAGGAAGATCTGCTTGGTACAGGTGGGGAGCTATCTAGGGTATAGACCAGTGATGGTGAACCTATGACACGCATGTCAGAGGTGACATGCGAACCCATTTTTTTGGTTGATTTTTCTTTGTTAAATGGCATTTAAATATATAAAATAAATATCAAAAATATAAGTCTTTGTTTTACTATGGTTGCAAATATCAAAAAATTTCTATATGTGACACGGCTCCAGAGTTAAGTTAGGGTTTTTCAAAATGCTGACACACCAAGCTCAAAAGGTTCGCCATCACTGGTATAGACTATCAGAAACAAGATAGGGGACTGTTCAGGCCAGAATCCCTTCTGCTGAGGTGCATGGGTTCTGTGTCAGTGCTGGAGCACATCTGCATGAAACCATCTTTTGGTTTCCCTAGGGTTTAAGGAGGGGCTGGGTTTTGTTAACTCTGTAGTTCTTTGCATTAGTGTTTTGTGGCAAGACCCAGGGAGGGCAGGGGAAGCAGAGCAGGAACACTGGAAGTTCAGTTGTTTTTCAGCTCATCTATTTAGGATTACTGAAGCAAGCTTAATTTATAAGAGATTTGCTCCATCTTCCTCTGCTTTTACAGGACTCTACTAGTCCAAGAGAAGAACCTAGAGAAATTTGAGTAGATCGGGTAGTTCTAAAAGCAATGGCCCAGGTAAGTTGAAATTCTCTCTATCCATTTTTGGTTTTTTGTGGGTTTTTGGTTTTTTTGTTGTTGTTAATCCTCACCCGAGGATGTTTTTTCATTTTTAGGGAGAGTAGAAGAGAGAGGGAAAAACAGAAAAACATTGATGTAAGAAAAACACATCAATTGGTTGCCTCCTGCATGCACCCTGACCAGGGCCTGAGTCAGGGAGGAGCCTGCAACCGAGATACGTGCCTTGACTGGAATCGAAACTGGGACCCTTTGGTCCGCAGGCCTACGCTCTATCCACTGAGCCAAACTGGCTAGGGCAGAGCCTCTCATTAACAGAAGCCAAAGATCAGATAGCTTTGATCTTTTTTATTAAACTGGGTAGTTTCCTTTTTTTCTACTTTTAAATGTCACCCCCTCTTTAAAGCCATAAAATATTTCACACTATCAAAACTTCTTCATTTTTGCAAGGTGATTTATGAGAGATGAATAACTAAAATGGTTCATTTTGAGGTTGAACAATATGTGTTGGTTATGGGCCACATTTATGTGACTAAGATATAGCCTCTGTCAGCTTTTTTAAAAAAATATATTCTTATTGATTTCAGAGAGGAAGGAAGAGGGAGAGAGAGAGAGAAATATCAATGATGAGAATCACTCATTGGCTGCCTCCTGCATATCCCCCACTAGGGATCGAGCCCACAACCCAGGCATATGCCCTGACCCAGAATCAAACTGAGACTTCCTAGTTCATAGGTCAATGCTCAACTACTGAGCCATGCTGGCGTGGCTCCATCAGCTCTCTTATTTCGGGACCAAGGAAAAGTAGACAGTGAAAGATGATAACTATTCACAGTATATAAGTAACTGTGAAGATTTCACAAATCTCATTTAAGCTACATGCCCTCAAAATAGTGGAATGATTATATCTTATCTATACTAATAAAATTGTAATATGCAAATTAACCATCATTCCGTGACAAATATGGAGGTGCCTATAGCCACAAAGATGGCAGCGCCAGCAGAGGCTCTTCACAGAGCCGGCCTGAGCGGGCAGGACACTTGGCTTCCTTCATCGCCCCGGCACAAAGGAAGCCAAGCCTCCCGCACACCCCAGCCAGCCACTGAGGCGTGGAGCTGCCAGGCCTGTGGGCAGCGTGCACGGGGAGCCTCTGGACGGGGGAGGCAGGCCAGTGGAAGGCGGCCTGTACTCCCCACATGGCGGCTGCGGCAGCCGTGAGCACACCAAGTGGAGCCTACAGGCCGACCTGAAGTAGCTCCTGCAGGCCATCAGCACCGCTGAGGAGTGGCTGTGCAAGTCCTGCCTCCTGGCCTAGAAGGTGCGCAATCACAGGGACAGCCACCATGGCGGGCCAGATTGATGTCCTCCTGGCTGCACATGGGGGTTTGTGGATCATTGCAGCTGCAGGCCTCTGGTGCACGCATCCTCTCCTCCCCCACTGGCATGCGAACGTCCCCCAGCGCGCTGTCACCTACGTGAGCCTACAACAGTCCCGGACCATTGCACATACAAGTCCCACTCTGCCACACTTCCATCAAAC